GGCGCCAGCCGGGTGTAGACGGAGGCCGGGGGACGTCTCGCTGGGGTGCTGGGGGAGGGGCGCCGAGCTCTGGCGGGAGGAGGGGCGCCGCCCGAGGCAGCTTTTCCGCGGGCGTAGCTCTGGTCTTAGCTCAGCGGAGCAGAGCTCCAGCTGCCTGGGTGACCGTGCCTCTCTACACCTAGCATAGCTCCTGGCACGGGGCGGGGCTGAACGAATGAATAAGTGAATAAATGAAGCAGGGCCTTTTGGGAAGGGTCGCGCCCTGTAAATCTATTTCCTCCGTCATTCTCTCGTTTCCTCTCTCTTTCATTCTCTCACTTTTTCGTTCCTTCGCTCACTCATTTTCTCCCTTTTCTCCTTTATTCCTTTACTCCTCATTACGTTTCTTACTCATTCCCTCATTTCATTCCCTCTCGCTCATTCCCTCCCTCCCTCGCGGTCCCATTAGTTCACAGTGCTTCTGCTGATCGCCTGCCCTCTGCTGGATGTTGGGGAGAAGAGATAAACTGCCTGTGTGAACAGGTGTTATCCCGTTTACTGAGATTCTGAAGTAAATCCAATTCCCAACCCAAAGGGCTGGACCCAGCAGTCCGCCAGGAAGCTCTTGGTATTCATTTTTCTAGCCTCACCTGCAAGAGGATCTTGTCCTCCGAGGCTCATTTGTAATTGCCGTGTCCAGCCGGAGGTTCCAGCCAGCAGAGCCTCTTGATAAAGTCGGGATATCCTACACTGTTGTTTATTAAGAGGCGTTATGAAGTGTGGGGGAAGGATGTGGCTAGGGATGGCTCATGGTTTAAAAAGGTGTACGGGAATGAGGAAGAAAATAAATGAAACAGAAGCACTGTCCTGGCTGATCCCAGAGTCCAGACAAGGGCCAGGAGAGTAGGACCAGACTCCAGGACCAGGGGTTCCCAGTGGGAATGGGCTTCTGGGAAGACTCTGGAGGAGGTAACCCCCTAGCTACATAACAGATGAGAACTTTTGGGGAATGGGAAAAGCATTCCAGGAAGGGGAGTGTCAGTAAAGGCATGGAGATGAGATCCTGCAAAGTGAGTAGTCCGGAGGCCACCAGAAGTTTCTGAGTCTGAAGAGAACACTGGAAAGTAGACCCTACCTCTGGACGTACAGGTGGATGTGGCCCTGAGGGCAGCCTTCCGCCAGGCCTGGCAGATGCCAAGATGGGTTGCAGACTGGACTAGAGGGTGGGAGGAGGCTGAGTATGGGGACAGCAGTGAAGCTATAGCCTCAGGTGGGGACGGAGTGGGGACAGGGAGGTGCTGGCTGGAAACCTGGGAAGGAGGCAAGTTCCCCACTACACATGAGTGATGGGTGAGGAAGAGTGAGCCCAAGAGATGGTGGGGAACAATGAGGTTACCCCCGTCACAAGGAGATTGGAGGAAGAGAAAGTTTGGGGGAAGACAAGGCTCACTTTGGCCCCAGGCAGGGTAAAGAGACTGCAGTTGTCCAGCTAAGGACCTTTTAGGCTTGAGGTAAAGTCGTGGACATATCATACACTTTAGCCAGAGGTGATGCACTGAACCAGAACAAGTATAAGGAAAAGGAGAGTGAGTTGAGGACAGAGCACAAGGTGCACTGGTGTTCCAGGGGACACCCAGAGAGCAGGAACCCATAGACGAGACAGGGGAGGAGTAATCTCAAAGGTCCAATGGCGCTAGATGTGAGGGTGGCTCCAGAGGGGAGAGGAGGCAAAGCCCCTGGATCTGCTACAGGGAGGCCTTTCCTTGGAGTGGCAGAGCCAGCCTGCAGTGCCTGAGGTATGAAAGGAGGCAAGGACAGGAAGACTGCCAGGTCTGGCCTCTGAGATGAGGACAGATGGGACCACAGCTTAAGAGGAGAGACTGAAGAAAGCACCTTCAGGGTATTGAAAGGAGCTGGAGGGTGAAGAGGATGAGGATGAGTGAAGGGGATAAGGGCAGGAGCAAGGTGGGGTGCTGGCCAGGACTGAGAAGACAGGACATTCCCCAGTGTTCAGAACTAGAGGTACCATCATCTCAAAATATACCCAGATCAAGTCAGCAGCTTTCCCACTGGAAAATTCTAGAGGAGGAGAGTGGCAAGATAAGAGGAGGCCCCAGAAGGTATGGTGTGCAGGATCATCTGGTGTCCTCCCATGGATGTGTTTGCTGTCTAGGAGATCTTGCCTTCCCTGAGCGTACAAACTTCTGTCCGCTCCTTTAGGGCTATATTTCCAGAACCTAGAACAGAGCTACCACTCAATAGGTTCTAAGTAAATAAAAGTGGAGGGAATTGGAGAGAAATAAAAAGCTGAGAGACTGGTTAAAGAACTGATAGAGATAATGGAAGACTTTCCAAGCTTCAACCCAATGGAAGATATTTCAAAGGAAAAGCCAAACACACTTGTCTGCTACACAATTTGATCACAGACATCTTAAAAAAAAAAAATTGAGGAAATGTTTGCAACAAACTCGAGAGCAGGGGCGCCTGGGTGGCTCAGTCATTAAGCGTCTGCCTTCAGCTCAGGTCATGATCCCAGGGTCCTTGGATCGAGCCCCACATCGGGTTCCCTGCTCGGCGGGAAGCCTGCTTCTCCCTCTCCCACTCCCCCTGCTTGTGTTCCCTCTCTCGCTGTGTCACTCTGTCAAATAAATAAATAAAATCTTTAAAAAAAAAAAAAAACTCGAGAGCAAGTGGCAAATAGTATATAAAAAATTCACACAAGGGGTGCCTGGGTGGCTCAGCTGGTTAAGCATCTGCCTTCGGCTCAGGTCATGATCTTGGGGGCCTGGAATCGAGTCCTGCATCAGGCTTCCCTGCTCAGTAGGAAGTCTGCTTCTCCCTCTCCCTGTGCCCCTCCTCCCTGCTTGTGTTCTTTCTCTCTCTCTCAAATAAATAAACAAAACCTTTTAAAAAATTCATACAAAACAATTCCGATAGGTGGAAATGTACACAAATAGATAATACTCAAAAGAGAATAAACAAATCATTTAATACCTGAGAGAATCATCAACATCAGTGAAAGTAAAAAAAAGCAAATGATACAATATATCAGTGAATATTTTTACAACATATATAACAGACAAAAAATTATTATCCAGAATATATAAAGAACTTCTAAAAACCAATAGTCAACCAACTAAATACCTGGTAAAAGATACTTACTAGAAACTCACAGAAAAAGAAGTCCCAGTGGATATAAACAAAGGAAGTCAAGTTCAATCTCATTAATCATCTGGAAATGCAAAAAATACACCACATTTTCATACATTGTTAAAGGAAAAATCATTCTGAGACCTGTAAAAACAGGAAGGAAGACTTCAGGAAGACTATTGCAACAGGGGTATGTCAATAGGGAGAGAGATCAGGCTGAACCCTGAATACAACAAAGACATATTGGGGATTTATAGCTAAAGAGCCTACTAACAATAGACATCAGGGAAGGGGGATTCTTGCTAAACTGTCCTAACGGGCTTATCAGAGCTGGGGGATGAAGAACCTGACTAGATATCAAAGGTGGGGGAATGCTCCCTGAACTGATTTAGTAGAATTCTTTGTTAAGACTGAGTTAGACAGGCCAACGTTGAGGCCTAGTTAAGAAGAGGGCTCAGAGGAGCCCGACTAAAGTTTGGTCAAGGAGCGAGCCTTTGTCAACATCCACACGGCAAATATAAATAAGATGAGATCCAGTGTTGGTTGGTGAGGGTGGGAATGTACATACATTGCTGATGAGAAAGTAAATCGGAACAGCTAATTTGGAGCATACAGTGTTTTCAAAATATATCTGCAAATTCTTTGACTCTCCTCCCTTCAAAAGGTAAAGCCCAATTCTCCTCCCCTTGAATGTGGGCTGGACTTAGTGACTGTGCCTTCTAAGGGATAGAATGGGGCGGAAGAAAAAGCCTGTGGTTTTCAAGGCCAGGTCATAAAAGGTGTTGCAGCTTCAGTCTTGCTCAGTCTGCATGACTTGCATGTCATGAAGACACGCAAGCAGCCCTAAGGAGAGGCCTCCATGGAACTGAGATGGCTGTCAAAGCCAGTACAGATTTGCCAGCCAAGCATGAGCTGCACTGGAGGCAGATCCTCCAGTCTCAGCCAGGCCATAGCCTTCTGAAGTCCCACATCTGCCTGGAACCTCAGGAGACACTGAGCCATGACCTGGCTAAACCTCCTCTGAATTCCTGACCCATAAAAACTGTGAAAGATAAAAAATGTTGATTATGTCATTTTAAGCTGCTTGGCTGTGGAGTAATCTGAATCTAAATAACAAAATGCATTTGAAGCCCATATATAATATAGGATACACTGCAGTCACAGCACTGGAAAGGTATTTAGAAAAGTATTTAGATGTCAACCTAAAAATGGGCAAGCTGGCTCAGTCAGTAGAGCATATGACTCTTGCTCTCGTGGTCATGAATTCAAGCCCTATGTTGGGTGTGAAGCCCACTTTAAAAAAAAAGTTTAAAATGTGCAAGAGAGGGGGCGCCTGGGTGGGTCAGTCAGTTAAGCGGCTGCCTTTGGCTCAGGTCATGATCCCAAGGTCCTGGGATGGAGCCCCCTCATTGGGCTCCCTGCTCAGCAGGGAGCCTGCTTCTCCCTCTCCGTCTGCCTGCCGCTCCCCCGGCTTGTGCTCTCTCT